ATATATATATATATTTATTAAATTTTTCAAATAACATATATACATATACATTTAAATACATAAAACATTTTTTCCTTAAACATATACATTCATTCATTCAATTACATAATATATATATATGACGACTGCATATTCTGCGCTGATTGAGGTCTGTATAGGGGAGAATCTCCACTTCCAGCCTATCACATTTCTACTGGCCCAGTAGGGCAAATGCCACAGTACCCCATATCCCCAACTATTGTCTTTTCACAACTAAAAATAACATGCCGACACACACTTGAGGAACTGTTTATGCATTTTTTTCACCCAAGATTTAAACAACTTTCACTTTTTTTCTAATTAGATTCAGTTGGAAAAATCTGTTAATCCAGGCTGTAAATTCGGACAATTTTGGGTGAAACAATTTATAAACAAACTTAAAGTTGCCTTGTCGCACTCCTTACCGGGGGGTGCTCTTAGCGACTGTGGATTAGGCCTCCAGACAATGTTAGTAGATAACAGTCACCAGCACATCAGAGGTATTTGAAATCCAACGTGATCGTTTATTTAAAATGTCATGTCATCAGAACAAGCGCTTTAGAGGCCGTGCAGGGTCCCCTTCATTAGGCTCAGCAATGACGTCATTGCTGAGCCCGATGAAGGGGACCCTGCGTGGCTGGTGACATTTATCTATTACCAATTTATAAATAGACCCCTTGGGTAGACCCCTACCCAGAAGCTATATCACACCAGATAGATCCTTAGGATATGTCTAGGTATACGATATGATATGTATTAGCTTAGCTGGGAATTTGTGACATGTTCTGCATTGTTAAAGGAAACCTATGAGGTGAGTGAAAATCACTCAGTCTCATAGTTCGAGCCGACGCGCTGACTGGAGGAACGGACGGGGGAGGGGGCGGGTACAGCTGGCTCTGCCTCTAGATAGGCAGAGCCAGCTGTCAATCACGCAGCTGGGTGGATCTCAACAGTAATGTCGGGATCCGTCCCGTCTGCGACGGACTCAGTATACCGTGAGCTGTAGCTCGCGGTATACTGAGCTTTGGGTCACGGGAGGACACTAGTTTGTGTCCTCCCGTGACCCTGGGGAGAACTATGGGGAAAAGCACTGACCCCATTGTTCTCCTTTAAGTCAGAGGTATTCGACGTGTCAGAAGAACACAAAGCATGAACACTCATAGGATATGAAAGGTAATTTTTGAGTATCAGAATATGAAATTATTTATTGAGTGATTATTTCAGAGGACTATAGGAATATATTTACACAAGTATGACCTATTTTTAATTGAAGGTGGATACTGATGAAGATGGATACTTAGACTGCCTCCAGGTACTTATGGCTTTAAAAGAAATTGTTCCAGCAAACGCATTAAGTGATGCTGAAGAGCTCTATGTGTATCGGGTAAGAAAACATATAAATAAGGTATTGCATAGTATCATTATAATCTAACTTCCCCTGAGCAATGTAAGATCATTATCTGTTTCATTGTTGTTTTTTGCTTAATATATATAATCATATCATATATGCCTTTTAGTCATGATGATCCTCTGCCTACATCACATTTTTAATGACCCAGAAAATAAAGCAAATGAAGGCAGAGGTTTCTTTAATTTGTTACGCTACTTGTTATTTCTTCCAAGTCATTTTGTGGGTTCCAAAATCCTGGGATATAGATATGTTAGCACTATATAAAGAACATATCTGGAGGTAAGGACCATCTCAAGCCAAAATGTATTTTTTAACAGGGTTATTCACAAAAGGGTGAAGAGTTTGGAGAAGGCCGGAGAAGGCCGGAGAAGGGAACAATCTAGGACAACATAGCTGAACTGAAAAGTGAGCTGAATTGGAGAATTTTTCCAAATCAGCTATTTAGGGCTACATTGTTCATTTCTCCTGCCTTCTCCAAACCCTTCACCCTTTTGTGAATAACCCTGTTTAGTCTTTGACAGCATAGGGAAGTACTAGAACCTTTTTTCACCTTTTCTAAAAGGAGCACTCACAGTGATAAAACCTTTTTGCGTAAAGTAGAGTGAGGCCATCTGCCAATTTCTTCTCTTCCTGTTTAGTCACCAGGATAGGAACTAAGGGGAATCCCCACAAGCAAGTGAAAATATGGTTAAAAAAAACTTACAGAGGTTCTATCCCTTGCCCACTCCAATCATAATGATAAAAAATTATGTTTTTTACTTTAGTTGGGATTTAATAGTTTGACGTTTTGGTTCCACAGTATTATTTTACACTTTGCTAATAACATTTTAGATTGGCAGTTGCAGCTTGTCTAGTTTGGGGATCAAAAAAGCAAATTTTCTTTACTGGGAACCATAGCCCTAGCTGCAGCTGCTGCAACTCTCCTAGGTTGGGGATGTATCCTGATTATGTAAGAAGGAAACACTGGGGTCTATTCACGAAACAGCCGAAGGATCTAGCCGTAGCTTCGGCCGATCCTTCGGCTAGCTTTCGCCCCAGGACACCTTAAGTAGAACCGAAGGGCTGCTGTACGGGCTATTCACAATAGCCCGTACAGCTCCCGAACTTAGCCGAGCCGCACTGAAAGCTGAAGCTGGCCGAGTGGCCGGCCAGTGGCCGGCCAACAGCCTGCTTCTGACAGCTGGGCGGAGCCAGCCGTGATTTTACGGCTAGCTCCGGCCACTTGCAGAGAGATCAGCGTCCCTGGTTACCAGCTAACCAGGAACACTGATCTCCAGACAGCAAACACTCCCGTCCGTGAAAAAAAAAAGAAAAAGCAGTGTTTCTCTCCTGGGCGGCCGGGAGCGGGAGACTCCCAGAGCGCCCGGGAGAGTTTTTTTTTCTTTTTTTTGACGGCAGCAGAAACGCCGGCCAATAGAAAACTGTTGGGTGGAGCTAGCTGTCATTGCTAGCTCCGCACAATCGTTTTCTATTTATTTTTTTTGTGCTTTTTAAACTATTTTTCTGTTCTGCTCAGTCCCTCGGAGGGACCGAGCAGAACAGCCGAGCCGAATGGCGCTCAGCAGTAAATTAATTAGGGAGTGCAAATTCCATCAACAGAGCACAAAGTGCAATAATTCATAGATTTTAAGGAGTCAGAGTAGTGAAAATAAAACCTGATTAGTTGCCATGTTTGACAGCCCTATACATGTAGTCACTGCTCTTTGCATTGCCTTTCTAGTTACTGCAAGGGTTAACTGCCCAATTTGGTCTAGGGGCTAAAATTAAGAAGACTTACTCACCTGATCCTTGGTCTCACATGGCTGCTAGGCTGGTCCCTGGGCTTTGGTGGTCTAAGGACCAGCTGCATTAGATGTGAGGATGCTAAGGGATATTCCACAGCCAGAGTGGAAGGGGGGGGGGAGATAAGCACTCAACACTGAGTATCAGGTGAGTATATTTTCTTTATATTTTCTTTATGTTAGCCCCTAAACTTAAATGAGAACTATGAGGTGAGTGATTTCCACTCATCCTCATATTTAGAGCCAACCTGTGACAAAGAAGCTGTCACAGATCGGCTCTATTGATCGAAAAGTGAGCATACCATTGGTTGCTCACTTTCCGATCATCGCCCTGCAGAGAGCGGTGACTGTCAGTCACCGCTCCCTGCAGCGATTCGCCCCTCCCTTCTCCGATACTCCAGCGCTGAGTGGAGGAATGGACGGGGGAGGGGCGGACACAGCTGGCTCTGCTAGATAGGCAGAGCCCCATGTCAATCAGCTAGCTGGGTGGATCCAGACATTATTGTCAGGATCCGTCCCGGTTGCGGTGCTCTTAGTGTATAGCAGGCAATAGCCCACTATATACTGAGCGTTAGATCACGGGAGCAGGTTAGTATATGTCCCCTGACCCTAAAGAGAACTATGGGGAAAAGCACTTAACCCATAGTTCTCTTTTAAACAAGCAGTTAACCTTTCCAGTGTGGGGGTAGCCCCGCTGCAAGGGTTAATTTTTACATTTCCTGGAGTGCTACATTGAGGTCAAACCCCTGACTGGATGACATTTGGTTTGCCAAATCACTTTGTACCATTTTTGTACAATTTTTTCCTAAATTACTGTTTTCCCCTTTTTGCATCTCAGTGCTGATGATCTCCTCCAGCTTCTTTGCAGCCACTTCTTGTCTACATACATTCACTCCAGGATTGGCCGCACACCATTGCTCAGGACTGGCTTCCTGATTTTAAATGGTGAACCATATCTAAGCAATGTGTGTTGTCACAGCCACCTTTGGTTTCATTTAGAGGCACATGTTAGTGACAATACAGGAGCACAACTGAGAGACAGTTGACACCCCATAACATGAAGTGTCTGAACAAGGACCTTCGTGGCAGGATTATCAGGTATTATTTTAATGAAAGTTGCATATTCTAAGAGATTGAAAATGACTTTAGAAATTACATTAACATGTTAAAGCTTATATGAGATTTAGTAAGTGGGTTTAAATCTACTTTAAGCCTTCAGCCTTGTTATTGCTTGCAATATTCATATGTTGGCATCTAATCTGGTTTTGACTTAATTGCTAGGGAATACGTTTGGGGCTTTGAAAAAATTAACCAAATAAAGCAAATAATATTAGTATTAACCTTTTTTATTATTTCAGTAAAATGCAGAAGCAGCTAATATTTTCTTAGCTTCCATGTATTACCTTTGCCATTTAATCAGTATGTTCATTATATTCATTACTTACACATTAGTTATCCCATTGCTGAAGCAGTCAGCTTTTCTGTCCACGTACCCTTCTCTGTAGGTACACAGTGGCTAGGTGCCAAGAGCACCCAGTGCATACTATAATAGGCATGTAAAGCAATCTCTCTGGTATCTTAATTCTTCATTGTCCTTTAATGGCAAAGCCTCAATGCTATTCAGACATCAAACAGATATCATATTACCACAAGTTGGTTTAATTCGAGTTTGTTAAGATATAAGCTAAACCAGCTGGGAGGTAATCACACTATAGTATTGGACCGACTCAATGTGTCGTGGGCCAATGTTCATATTCCCATTCTAAAACATCAATTCAATACTTCAATTGTTGCTTAATTTCATTGACTTTATCAGAGCCATTTTGTCCATCTGTCAACATTGTTGTATTCCATGCCTCAATCAGACTAAAAGAGTATTACCTTATAGGCTTTGACCTTATTTTATAAATGTCCTTCCTGTAAAATAATAATAATGAATCAGTAAAGTCCTTTATGGCTTGCATTATTGTATGTTTGCTTTGTCTGTGGTTTCTTTTCTTATGAAATGTTAAACCACAAAAGGTAGCACAGCATTTTGTGCAGCTTGTACGTGTGCCTCCAGTAAACATCCCTTTTATTCACTGCTTCCATGTTTTGTTTAGTACATGAAAAAAAAACAAGTTAAACAAAGTTTTCAAAGAGAAGGTAGAGAAAGAGCGAGGTACCCGGGGTAGAATACACATATCTGTCTACATAGACATCACCTGAGTATAATGGAGTTTTTTAAGGAACACTTTTTTGTCATGAAAGCCTGAAGAGGGAAAACTCGAGTTCTGTGGGTTTGTTCTCAATACTTGAAACACAAAGGCAATTGGCTGGAAGAAAAGAGTTTTATTTGCGAAACAAAGCTTTGTAGGTCACAACCATAGGGTTTTCCATAGAATGGATCCATTCAGAGCAACGAATATGAAAGGGCCTATAATTAAACTTAACATAATACTCTCTCTCTTAGTATTTTAAAGTACCTTGAACAAAGTTGACGTGAAAGTTCCTACTAGACTTTCATGCAAGAAGAAAATTGATTGTAATGAAAGCTGGGATAGTGGGGAAAGTGAGGAGGTGGGAGATTAAGGTACGTTCTTTAGGTTTTTTCAGCTTAATTCTGACAGTAGGAAAAGCAAATATAAAGGACTCAAGTGGTACCAACCCCTTCATCTCTGAAGGATTTGAAAACATTGGCCATATTCTGTTATTAGCTGCTTGTTTAAACTTGTCATTTATCATCACTGACAAAGTACAACTGAAAGTTCAAACCATTGACGTTTAGGATCAGATTTTCTCCATAATACCATATTTATTGCTGTTTTTGTTAATTAGGAATCATTTTAAAAGGTGGACCAATCAGTCATGTTTTTTGTAAGAGGATTTTGATTCCTGATTTCATCTCTGTGTTTGGCGGAGGAAACTCTAGTGTATTAACAACTCCAGGCAACAAGTAAATCAGTTAGTGACCTGTTAATACTATCCAGCAATCAATCGTGATAAAATCAGGAGGTCCACTCTATGTACTTATAATGTGCATTTATATAATCTCATACAGTCAAGTTCATCAGGCTGCTCGTGACATCTGTGCAGGGCTGCAGTCACATAAAGGGGTCTATTCACAAAGCTGCCGAAGGATCTGGCCGTAGCTTCGGCCGATCCTTCGGCTAGCTTCGGCACCAGGACCCCTTCGGTTCAGGAGAACCGAGG